TAACTGGAATACTCTATTAACTGGAATTTCTGGTTTCCCAAGCAGGAAAGTCTGCGGGGGAAGGGGGGAAGAGAAAGGAATGGGGGGCGGGGCGGGGCGGGGCTGGACCAGGCAGGGATCAGGAGGGAGTGGAGCAGAGCTGGGCCCAGGATTGGGGCTGCGGTCTACTGCACCCGTGCGGCTCTCTAAACCCCTGGACCCCCATGCCAATCCCGCCAGGTGCTGCACAGCTGGGACAGAGCTGCAGCTTGCCTGGTGGGGTATAAGGAGGGATGGCGGCTCCCACCACTGCACATGTCCCGGGAGACTTGGGGGACGTATGCCCCTGGATCTAGACAGGGCAGGGTGGGCTACTGCTGCAGGCTGGGACTGGGGCTGGGGCAGCACTGGGCTCTTCCCAGCGGGGGTGGCTGTGCTGTGTTTCAGGTGACTAGTGGTGGTGCTGGGACTGGCCTGCCTCACTGCCCAGCCTGCCCAGTGGCGGGATGCATGTTGTGCCATGCCCCACGCCACACCGCTTTTGAAGCAGCAGCAGCGGGGCACAGAGGCAGGGAGCAGAGCCCAGCCTGTAGCTGTATCCTGCCCTTGCCCTCTGCACAGATAAAAGAAAGTAGATCGAATGAAACTTACCTGCTTGCTGGGCCGGCTGCGATTCTGGCTGCGTGGGGTATATGTGTTCATCCCGTCCCATGTGTCACGCATCCTGTTCCCTCCCCACCCCCACTGTAGCAGTTTTATAGTGTTTTATATGAATGGTTTTCATTAAAATGATTGGATAACTGGAATTCTTAGATAACTGGCAACGCCCCTTACCCCACTCATGCCAGATAACAAAGCTTTCACTGTAATACGAGGGGTTTCTTTTAAACCTTATTGTTTATTTTTTGTAGCCCTCTCAGGATTGTCATTCACAAAGATATGCATTTTTGCCTACTTAACAAGATTTAGTTAAATATAAGTTGTACAGTATTGACTTGCACTGGTATTTTCTCTTGTAGAGACTGCGGAATGGCACAACAGGTGTGTGTGCCTTGATTGTAGGGAACAGGTTACACATAGCCTGGCTTGGCGACTCCCAGGTAATGTTGGTGCGGCAAGGAAAAGCTGTGACCCTGATGGAACCTCACAAGCCTGAAAGAGAAGTAAGACTGTTTTATTTGCAGCTGTGTTGTTATAAATGTAATTAACTTGATTTTAGCTCAAAAACTTTAAATGAACTGATTGATTATCTCTTGTGTTAAAATTTCCCCTTTTGAAAAGGAGAGGGTGAGGTCAGAGTGAACTAAAGCCAAAACATACAATGATGAAGGGAACCATCCTACTTGCTCCTGTAGTAATGATTGTGGTGGAGATGGGGATTCTGTCCTTTTTTTCATGAACAAGCAGTGATACATTCATGGGGAAAGTGACTTGTTCAAAGACACTCAGCTATACATTACAATACAGGTGTCCCTTGCTTTATGTGGGTTTTGTATGTGCAAATTCACTCTTATGCAGTGACCCTTTTTATACCAAAAATTTGTTATATGCAAGGTAAATTCACTCATGCAATCGGTGTGTTGGAAGCCCACGGTCAGCTGCTTTGTGCGATGCATTGTGGGAGTGACACACACCAAAATATAGTCTCCTGTGTGGATCTGTGCTCCTCGCTCATTGTCTGTGACACGCGTTTCTGTAGTTGCTATCCCCATTATGGTAACATTCACTACCACTCTGTGATTGTGTGTACTGTCTGCTGTTGGTGAGTACCAAAACTGTCTTGTAGAAATGGGTCTGGGAGTCAGTACAGTCAAGGTCTTGGAACATATTCCTATTTGTTACATTGTAAAGTGGGTTCTCTTTATGCGAATTAAAGTTATGGGCTGTCTTCCAGGATTGCATGTACAGCATAAATGGAGGGAAACCTGTAAAAGAAATTCAAGCTTCATTAAGCACACTTACTCTGAACTTTGTTCTGATATCCATATATTTAAATAAAAAAGTCTTTGCTGTTTGCATCCCTGTCATAAGTACGCAAATTGAAGAGGTTTGAGATTTTAATTTGCAACACTGGCTAGCAGTTAAATTAGCAAGACCTGGAATAAGCTTTTCTGTGTAAAAACTGAATGTTATCTTTTTTTTTTAGGATGAAAGAACACGTATTGAGGCACTGGGTGGCTATGTAACGTACCTGGACTGCTGGCGGGTCAATGGAACCCTTGCTGTTTCCAGAGCTATTGGTAAGCAGGCCACTGAAGTTAATCAAACTGAATTATATATAAAAACATGCAACTTGCAGCTCTTTAAGTAACTAGTAAAATCTTAGCAAATGATTATTTGCTCAACTTGGGCCAAGTGGTAAATTGCCTTTGTTGCTGGGGTAATGTGATATTAAATTATTTGATCAGCAAAGTCTTAGCAGATTTTGAAGGAGAGAGGAAAACTAGTTCAGTTCCTTTTTGAAACTTCTCTACTAATACATCATATTAAAATTGCCCAACAAGCTTGGACAGTATGTGTTGTACTTGAAACAACAGCAGAGTAAAGAAATTTTCACTCTGCCCACAGATCTGATGTCTGAATATCTTTCAGTAATTTATTTCATCATCTTGTTGTTCACCAATTCTTCTCTTTATAGTTTCAAAATTGACATTGCTGTGTCATCCTTCAAATGGCAAAATTTTAGCATAAATTTTGGCAGTTAAATGCTAATATTCCCAAATTCCATGGAAAGATCTTTCTTGGCTGCTTGCCACTTAAAGTAAGTAAAATGAGGGAAAGACCCTGGGCAGATCATTGAATGCAGAATGGAAGCAATTTAGCATAATATAGACAATACTTTTTTGAGGAGAATAGTCATTGCTTGAGTTGCAGTTAATTCATATTGCTGAAACTAATAATTTTGGTTACTGTACTACTGTATATGAAAGGGGATGTTCTTGTTGCATCCATGTCATCTTCATTTAATGAAAAAGGAGCTGCTTTACTCAGTGTTTTAAGGATTTTGCAAGATGCATATTTGGCAAAATAAAGCCCAGAGCATCTTCTCCCACATACGTACCTGGATAGGAAAACTTGGTGAGGATTTTCTTGGAGAGTTTCCACAAAATCTTGCACAGTGATATAATGAGCCATGGTATGAGCCTCAAACCTTTTAGCCTCCATCTGCTTACCTTCTGCAGGAGGCCTGTGCCTGGTTCTGAGATTTTCTCTCTTCTTGAGGAAAAACATTTCAGTTGTAATGAATCATAGCAGCAGTTTATTGGTGAGGAGGCACAAGTTAATACTAACACAGTAAGACTTGTACTTCTTTATTTAGGTGATATATATCAGAAGCCCTATGTCTCTGGCAGCGCAGATGTTGATTCATTTGAGCTGACAGGTTCTGAAGATTACTTGGTGCTGGCCTGCGATGGATTCTTTGATACTGTTAAACCATGTGATGTGGTGGACCTGGTCCTAGATTACTTAATGAAAAACAAAGGAGATGGTCTCAAGACAGCAGAAAGACTGGTGGCTGCAGCAAAGGAAAATGGATCCAGTGACAATATCACTGTTCTAGTGATATTTCTAAGGGACCCCCAAGACATCTTGGCAGACTTTCTCAGAGACCCTAAAAGCCTTGTGATTAGTGAAGGTGCACAGGATTCACCCTTTAACTTTTTTAGTTCTGAGACAAACAACCAGAGTGATAGTCAAACAACAAGATCTGCTTAATCCAGGACTTTCAAATATTGTTCCACTAAAGAATTTCTTTCCCCTGAAGAAGTATGAATGAGCAAAATGTCAGGAATAACATGACAAAAATTCAAAACACAAGAATGTCAGAGTCCTCTCTCTGGTCCCCTCTTTAAACTGGTCCTCCCTGCTCAGATGCAGCAAAATAGACTTGAAGTTTTGTGCAGCTGCTTCTCCCCTTGAAACAGCAGTTTAAAGTTTTTGCCAGGGTTCTCAGTTCATATCCCTCCGTCCTGGAGGTGGTGGGGAACATGCATATAAGCTAATGGAGGAGAATAATTTAAAGTAGTGCTTTAAAAAAATTACAGATACTTAATTGTTTTGTTACTAACAGGACTGGTGGGAGAACTGCCTCCATTGCAAAGAAGCTGTTATTGCTTATGGTCTATATGAATAGGTCCAGTGTTCTAGGGAATTGGGTGTCCAGGAGTAGATACTGTTACTGTCTATAATATGCTGTTAGCTTCATCACTTCGTACCAAAGATGATACTGTCGAATGTGACCTCATTTCTTAAAGAAAGATAATAAATTTGCGTGTGCTCATGTGGGTGGGAAATAAAACTGGATACTTCAGGAGAAGAAGAGGGCAAATTAAGAAAGACCCAAACTGAAAGAGATTGCAATCCAGCTACCTTTTTGGGATGTTCTGGACAATGAATCTTAATCCAATATTTACTTGCGCTGCTATAGGAAAAAAATAACCTTATCCTAAAGCTGGGTTATTTCCCCCAACCATGCACTCTTTATTGGTTATTTGCTAACCTGAAAAAGGAACAACATTTATTGATGGTGTTTGAAAAAGGTCCAGAGAGAATGTGTATGTTCTCTGCCAGTTGAGTAGGCTCTGTTGCTGCCACATTTTTTTTTCATGGTGTGCTATAAACAAAATTACATATTTTATTCTTATTATAAGTTTGCAGATTTTTTTGTGAATTTGCTGATCTTCATAGTTGGGCAAACTGTTTTTGTAGTGTGACTGTATTTTATTGTGGGTTTTATTTAAAATAGGATTTAAAAATATATAATTTTTTATTGTCAGTAGTTTAAAAAAACTGGCTACCCTCAAGTGCCTTAAGTGTTTCATCCAAGGATGGAAATGGCTGTCTTTCTATCTTATTGTATTGAGCCTGGTATAATATTTAAAAAGTGTGATTTTTTTTTTGTTTGTTTTTGTTTTGTTTTAATTGTATAATATTACTATGTTTAAAGCACTTAGAGCTCTTTCATTTTTCTGTGTGATTGAGCAGGAACTGTTTTTCAGGAATGCTTTTTTTTTTTTTTTTTTTCTTCCATGCAGTGTCGCCAGATCTTGTGATTTTTTTTATCATAAGTCTCAATATTTGCCATTTTCTTAAATGCCTCAACTGATATCATCAGCCTGTTTTTTGATGATTATCTCATCTTGCATTTTAACTTTTTTTTTAAAATGAAACTTATAGAAAAAACTTGAAAAGACAAACCCAAAATGTTCCAACAGCAGGATATAAGTGCCCCTTCAATTAAAAAAAAATACTTTTTGTAGTTTTTTTACAAGACTTTTTGGAGCTTGAGGCGTGGTTTTTAACATGCTAAAGTTAACTATGTAGTGTTAACAAGACTTTTGGGAATGCAGCAATTTTCTCAGGAGGTATGAGTTGAGCTACTAATAGAAAGGCCCTTAATGCATATAAAATTGCACATATGGTCTCATGGATACTAGGCTTTTGATAGTCGTGATCAGTGCTTCTGAAATGTCTAGTCAAACCCATCCTAGTTTGCTGGCATTAGCAACATGACTCTGAGCAGGATCTGAAAGCTCTATTACAAAATATTAGGCAGCTTCTGTACTGAACAGAAGTAATGCCCCCAGTGGTAGGATTGCAATATCACTTCTGATTTTGGTTAAATGCCTGCAGTATTTTTAAATGGTTATTTTGAAGGTGGATCAGAGTTGGAATATAAGGGGAAAAAAACCCTTATGCAAAAGGTAAGTTTTCTTACTTCGTTCAGCCTTAGATAAGGGATTAGGGAAGCGGAAGCAGAGCAGCATTAATTTGGACCCATAGTATCTTGAAGCTGTTTGCTAATACAGGATCATTCAGCGACTCAAACTATTTGCTAGCTTTCCTTAGAAGACTGCACAAGTTAATATTATAACTTCTTGAGGGACTTATCACATGAAGTAACTCTCCACATCACTTAAAAGGTCTCAGGTATTGTATTATGGAAAGGCCTCTCCATAGTTAAGGCTATAATCACTTTTCCATTATACTTTTTGCTCCTCCCTCCCCCTTCTTCCTTGTGCTTGGGAGAAGTTTACAGAGTACAAGTAGGTGTATAACACAGTAGCAAAGAAGGGCGATTTGTGCCAAGCTTGCAGATTTCACTGAGTTTAAGTCATAGCCTGTATTCTGCAGTATGTAACCCAGAAACTTTATCTTTGGGTTGTCTATAGCAGCTTATCCATTTTGAAGAGCGGTGCTGATAGTTTGAAATGAGAAGACCTAGAATGTTCTGAATCCCTAAACATCTTGGGTTCTTGGTTTACTACTGGAAGAATGAGCAGAATCCAAAAAACATGCATAACTTTTGGTAGGCTGCTAAATCTGGTTTCAGAATTTTGCCATAGTTCCTACGGTATGGGGGAAGCATGCAAACTCTCTAAAAGCCAAGCACTTGATACCTGTCTTGCCATTATAACATTCTGCCCAATAATTTTGCAAAAATGAAATAAATCCACCTAAAATTTCTGGTCAAATCTAGCCAGATCCAAAGTGAATAAGATATGGCATATTTCAGGTATGGAAGGAAAAATGAAATACCAATTAAAATGTGGTCCCAATTTGGAGAGTCATCAGAAAGAAAATGGCTGAGGGCTCAGACTCTGTATTCTAAAAATCATATCCTTGGGGAGTATAGCTAATTCCATATTGCTTAGGATGATTTATTTTGGTTTTTGAGTTTGGGGGGTTTATGGAGACTTCTTGTGTGAAATCCTGGCCTCATTTACATTAATGAGGTCAGAATGTCACCCTCTAACCTTTGCAGACGCCTCTTAAAGGCTTTTGAAAGGTCTTCAGCTTCTACAGATTTAAGTAGAACCAGCAAGGCTAAAAAAAACAGGCAGATGTAATATTCAGATCAGTGTGTTAACTAACCCTTACCAGTATGTTTCAGCTTAAGGGTAGGGAACCTTTCCTTCACCCTCTCACTTGACGTAATGGAAAGGGAGTGAACATTTTCAGATTAATTCTTTTAGCTTGTTAATTTGTCTGACCACTATTTTTTTCCCAGCCATTGTTTACATAGTGTAGGTTCTCTTGTTGATTTTTAGCTAACAGAATTGTTTCCGAGTCCAGGTGAATTTTCATTTTAGATCTGTAGATCTTAATTTATAGAAAGGATCCTGTATGTTCTAAGACTAGAATTGTGCACCATATTGTAAACTTTGACTTAATAGTTTTTGTTGCAAAGGAAATGTTAACTTCAAAGCTTTTAACTCCAAATTAACACTTTTTTCTTTACAACTAGAGCATTTTCTTAATGTGTAGCAGGCCCTCACTCTCCTCGCCCCCCCACCCCCCAAGGGTGGCTGTGACACCCCCTGATGGCCAAGCTACCCCTCAGCTTCTTGGGCACCCTCCTTTTTTTTGTCTCTCCTGCTGCACCTTTATGAATATTCTGGTTCTTTGGGAGGCTCCCCCAGGGCCCTGTAGTGAGCTTCAATCTACTCCTCCCTCTTTTCTTTCTGGCTCATGCCTGGCTGGCACCAGTCCTGCCCAAAGGTACTAAACCGTGCCTCTCAGGTGTTACTCTTCACAAGCCTCTACAGTCCTCAGCCCTCTTGGCTTTAGTCCACTGGTTGCTCTCACTGTTCCTCTGGTCTGACTTCTGAGTCTCAGCCTCTCTCCCTCTCAGGTACAGGCCCTTGGCCCTCAAAGCCCTTGGCCCCTCTTGCTTTGGTCCAGGCCCTTGACCCACCCCTGATAGGGCTCAGAACTTGGAATGCCCCTCTTGCATCCCTGCATGCCTATCCAGTCCTCCAGTTTAAACTGCAATACAAATGCAAGCAGACTGTTCCTAACAAAGAAAGCCAAAGCCCACTCTGGGCCCTCATACCACTGCTGAAGCCATTTCTCCACTTGCTGGTTCTCTTGGCCCCTGGGAGTTCCTGGCCTGGCTTGCAACTTGTGCTCCTTGACAGCTTAGGCTAGCAAGAGCTCTTCCATCTGTGGGTTCAAGGCAGCACCAGTCCCTCTGCTTCCAGGACACAAGCTTTTTTTCCCAAGCTTCTCGTGTTCTGGTTAGGTGCCCCCATGACCAGCTGCAGATGTGCTCCTAGGTCTAATGAGGAGTTTACTGGTGTTCTCCTGTCTGCCATGGTTGTTATTCTCCTTCCTACTTGGAGCCCTGTCCTGTTGACCTATTGCTCTACAGCTAGCTACCCTAGGAGTTGACTGCTACCCTCCAGCTCCTCAGCTGTCTATACTTCTGCAGCTAGCCCCAGTTCATCTGCTGGCTTCTGCCTGTGGGCCTTAGCTGTTGCAGTCTCTCCTGGTGCAGTAACAGGAGCCTCTGGCTCAAAAGGTTACATTATTTTGCAGCTGAGAAATTTACCATTCTTTTCTTAAGACTGCACACTGTCTAAAAATAACAGCTAAGAAACATCAACTAGCTTATTCATCTTATTAGGGTATAAACTCTGCTGATATTATTTCTACTCATCATTTTATCGGAAATGTATCTAGCAAAAGTATTTATTTCCATAAGTGAAACTGCTTGCTGTTTACTTCTGTCATAACTATTAACTGTCACTTTATATATTTTTTTTTTAAAGTCTGAAAATGTCAGGATAGCTTAAAGCTTAGTTTAAGAAAACATATACAAAAGTGAATAGTATTTGTATACATAACCTGTAAATGAAAATGCTACAGAATTTCCAGGCTGACTCAATAGATGCCTGCAGCATCTAAGGATTTTGCTACAGAGTTTAGTTCAGTTTTTGCAGGGTCTGTGCAGGGCCTTGATTTAAAGAAATAAACAAAATAAAGGCCTATTCCTCAGTGTGCTATGAGACTATTTAACATCAGACATTCCAGATGCAGGTAGCAGAGTTCAAAGGACCATATTCAACATCTTTCTCGTGCTTTTAATCTGAAACTTTTTACTTCCTGGTATAACAATCCAAGATTACTATAGCTGTCCCAAGATGAAAGGGGGAAATGCATTTGTCTGTCTTCTCAAATGCAAGACCGAACCAATGGACAACAGTTTGTATATAGTTCAGCTTCCCTATTTGTGAAAAAAATGCCAAATTTTTCACATGGCAATGGGAAAATGGGATGGAGAGTATTAGAATAGAAACGAGAAAGTTTGGTTCAGCAACTAAGATATCATGTCTGAAAATTAGTTAAATGAAAAGTAGTTTAAAATGGATGGTGTCCCTTCTACCAAGTAGCTTAAGAAAACCAAGTATCAAAATGCAGTAGTCTGAGTTTTTTTAAATTTATGTGAGGTAAGTTGTTTTCTAAATGCAGCTCTCACTGCTCCACTGTAGTAGTAGGCAACCGTCAATCCTTCTGGATCATGGATGATGTGTAAGGTCTCTTCCAGCCCTAATAACTATCTCACTATGGTGCATGTGTGAGAGGTCACCAGGATCTTTGACATGTATGCCTAGGCAAAAACCTGAAGGAGCAGAGGTGGCCAGGACCTTCCAATTCCTGTTTAGGCCATGGAGACAGAATCCAAAGGTCAGACCAAGTCTGGACACTTGGTGCCTTGGCTGTTATATGTGCGCCAGGGAATCAAACCCCAGTCTCCTGCACAGCAAACAAGGACTCTACCACTGAACCACAATAGCAGCATGCACTCGAAAAAGCCTCATTCTCTGATTTGAAAAGCTGCTCTGGTCATGTTGTTTAGGTGCAAAACAGAATCTCCTTTGTGCATAGGCACTTGAGTTTTATTTCCCTCCCCCTACCCTTTTCTTTAAACAAAGAAATAAAAAAGTCAGATGTTGTAGGTCTGACCTAAACTGACAGAAGACCAGAAATTCATAACTTGTTGTTGTAAACAAGGAGAGTTGTTCAGGGCGAAAAACGTTCCTGTCACAGCCTGTTCATTTCCATGTGACATGCGGTTTTTTGTAGAACCATTGCGGGAGAGGAGAGAAAAGCAGAACAATTTTTAGAACAGTGGGGGAGGGGGAATTAAGTAAAATCCACCCTCCAACAGTGACAGAAGAATGTGTGTGAGAGCGAGAAATGTGTTTAAGTATTATTAGTGCCTATTTTAAAAGGGAAGTGGGCTGGAAAATGGAGCTACAAATGTCAGTTCCTAATAGAGAACTATCAGAAACTGGAAGGAATAAAAAAAAGTGCTTTTTAAAGATGACAATGAGAGTGGTAACCTTGTCTTCCAATGGTTGAAGGGAAGAAAAGGAAGAAGGTACTGAATGGGGTCAAAGTAAAAGCATCCTAAATTTCTGGGACATTCTGCATTTTCTTGAATGTTAATACTGACAAATGGATTTTGTTTCACATACTAAGTACAAAGTAGCAGTAAGATGGAGCAGTTGATACACCCAGATTATTAGTTATGGTGCAGTTGCTACTGTAGGTGAATGCCATAAAGTGTGTTAATGAATTGATACTGCTGGTAAGCCCTCATAGGATGAGTAATTGGGCACAGAGTCATTCCAGCAGAGTTGGCAATTGAATAGCGTTAATCACGGTGATGCCTTTAATAGCATTTAATAGACACTTATCTGAATTCAGAGTCAGATGAGTTATTGCTTTTTAAGAGCCTTCCCAGAGCTATTAACATTATGTGGTAAAGAGCTACTAACATTATCAGAAGAAAGTTTTTGTCTGTTTGTAAAGTACTTGCTGTCTGAGTTATGCATACAGAGCTGTTTTCTCTGTTAGAAACTTTTTCATTTGATAGTGTATAAAATTGCTGAAGCTGCACCAAGGTACTGGTATTTTCCCTGTGTAGGTATTTGTACATAATACCCTTTCAGGTTGGGAAACCAATTTGAAGATGGCGAAGAGGTGTTGTGGGGGGGCAGAGTTAAGGGGGGCAGGTCTTTTCCTTTCTTGTTAAGCGAGTTGTCTCCAAAAGTTATCTGCTGTAACATGATGTCATGGTATGGAAGAAGCTGGGAGCCACTATTCTTTATTTCCATACAGGTGGCAGTTGGGAATGTTTCCATTTGAATGTCTGCTGCAAAACCCAGAGTCTGTTTCTTACCAGGAAAGTGATACTCTGTGTAAAGCACAATTTTTACACAGACAAGGCAAGGTTAGTCCTGTGCTTCCTAAAAAAAGAATGGGGAGGAAGCTGGGGTCCTACCTTGCTTAGGTCCTCCTTAAAAATCCAACCCTGACAGGATCCTTGCTTTGCCTTTAACTGTGATGTGACTAAGAAATTCCATATTTTAATTGGTTGTTTTCCCCTTGTGTTCAATGTGTCATTTTAAAGTTCCTAATTTGGCATGGCCCCCAAAAAACCTTAAAAATCATCATTCCTACCCAAGTCACTCTACAGAACCAGTTTTACACATGGATTTTCCAAGCTGTTTATATTGTTGCTGGTGCATAGGAAAGTAAACAGAAGACAGCTGTGTTGGCAGTATAGGAAACTTAGTGAGAGGCAACGTTTGTCAAACAGGCGGATAAAATAAATAGAAATGTTTTCAAGCTTCTTGGAGTAGAACAATGGAATGCAAAAAAAAAATCAGAGTTAGAGTTGGCAAAGCACTGTCAGAACGTATTTTAATTGAGGAAACCACTGTTTTTAAGCTAATGCATTTTGGTTGCTTTGTAATGTCTGTTTATGTTATTAATAAGCTCCTACACTCAGGGGTTCATGTCTTGTTGCTGATGTGTACTTTTCAGTATGAAGGGAGAAGACAAATATTTAACTTTCCAAGGAGCTCTATGTATTTGTGTGTGTGTGTGTGTGTGTGTGTGTGTGTGTACACTTGTTTATATATGATTTATTCTTTGCTTTCATAGCTAATGAGCCAGTTTGCATGAAGTCTCAGTGAGATCTCAATTTTATAAGTGGTGATCTATTATTGATAAAATTGATGCCTTTGCTCAACTTGGTGATTTTTGGTATATACTGCCATGCATAACAACCTAGACTTATCTCCAGCCTGAGTGGATTTCTCTCCGAAGCTCAGCAGGGTATGTTTGGCTTCTAAAGATACAAAGGGATGGTGTGATCTTCCCTGACTTTCAAGATAGTATTATCCATTCCTTGGTTAGAAGGAAAGTATCTTCAAGGGTGAGAGAGGCTATTGCTAAAAGATGGGAGGAATTCAAAGGGCTGCTGAAAGATGTTTTCCCTCCCCACCCCTGACCTCTCCCAGCCCTGCCTTTTTTAGGCATCAGGTTTCTGTAGTTGTCTCTGTTTCCATATTGTCCCTCTTCAGCTCTTAGTGCCAGCCTTTTCATGTTTTCATTACTGACACAAAAGGGTACATACCTCTTCTCTTTACTTCTTAGTCCTAAAAATTGAAGTCCATCCTTTTCCTTCCCCACCCCTTCTCCCATGCATATCCTCAATTAGAAAATCAAAATGGTCTTTCTCTGGAAACAGCTTTGAAACTTGAGAGACACTGAGTAGGAACTGTTCCAAAGTTGAGTCAGTGCAGTTCCCTCATAATTTTGGTCAGTCTGCTCCCAAACTGTTTGCAGAGTTCAGAACTGTGGTCTGATCCTGTTTATAGGAGCCTAGGAAATGCCACACAAAGGATACCAGATGGACCATTGGTCTATATCTGGTATTGGACAGTACCAGATGCTTGAGAGGAAGTTTTTAATACAGGAAATAACCTGCTAACAGGTGATGTTTCGTCCTAATTCCAGCAGCTGGAGTGTCTTGTTCTTGAAACATGAAGAGCGATGTTGTTTTTACTTTTATCTGCTGCACATTTTGATATCACTCAGCCTCTTGGAGAATCCATTTTGGTTTTGACCATTTACACTGGTTTAGACAGCTTTTGTATAGTCCTACCCCCAATGGTAGGATGGCTAAAAAGACAATCTAGTTGCTCTAACAACATTAAGCCACTGATCAAATTTCCCATGCAATATATTTCCTGGTGTAAACAGAACTACAAGCATCTAACAGTAACGTTAAGAGTTTTGTGACTGCTCAAATTTGATTAAAATGCATATCCTTATCAGTATTAAAGTACTTTGAAGAGTACACAGCTGTTGATGTATTTTGCAGCTGCCTCTTGCCATCTTATTGGCTAATGAACCTTGGATGAAAACAAAAAGGGCCAGTGATTTGATATAAGGGAGCCGTTAACGGAGTGTCTTAAACATAATCCTTATTTATTTTGAATATTAACCTGCACTTGCAAACCTGAGTGGGGAAACTTCTATACAGTGGCTTTTTTTGCTTGTTGGTTTTTAAGGCTGTGGCTCAGCTAGTTATCCTGTATCTCAAGACTTTTTTTTTTTCCAATTTAAGCTAACTGATTATTTGTGCATGAGCCACAAACCTGTTGTTATTAATCATTACCTTCTATGCATATTGTATGTTCACTTATGTGGACTGTTCTAACTGTGCTTGTGTGTGTTGACATTATCTTGTATTTAAATGTATTGCATGAGGTTTACTTGGGTTTTTTGTATTGCCACTTTTGTATTCACACAGTGCCTCGTGTATCCATTTACATATTGCAAGAAATTGTTTCAAAGCAGTAATTGGAAATAGGAGTGGGGACAAGAGATCTTACTGTAGCATATATTGTTTTGAAGTATTAATAAACTACAGTGATTCACATATTTTCTTTTTTTAGTCTTCATTTTAATGCTAGAAGTGGCTTAAAAATGTGGGCCATGTGACTGACTTCCAAGATTGTGCATTCAGGCTGGTGAAGGTGACCAAGTCTTGGTTTGTTTGCAGTAATCCATGTCCTGGAAGAGATGAGACTGGGGACAATAGAAGGAAAAAAACCATGCACTACAGAGTCTGTTTTTTTTTTAATTACTGTTTTGCAAATGAAGAAATACCATCGCTAAGGCTTGCATAGAACTGGCCTTCAGCAGGGTAATAGACAATACCTGGACTTCAGAGAACAGTATTTAGACATCACCTTTTACAAAGAACATGATTAAGCTAAAAAAAAAAAAGAATCTAATGCTTTAATCTGGTGGGGTTTTTGTTATGCTATCAAGCAGTGAGTCAAACTCTGTCCTCAGACATGTGTTCTTCTATTACTAGCCTGGTATGTGTGTTCTTAGTTTCCCTGTAGTCAGAAGCTAGCAATGTATACTGCTCCCAGGAATGAGGTTGGCCTACTAACCCAATTAGCTAATATTCTGCAAGGCTAGAGAAATCGGTAGCTATTTAAAAATTACTGTTGCTTAGTACTCTGATGCACTCCTTCCCTGGAGAGCCATTCAAACTCAGCAGTGCAAGACACGAGGTCAAACAAGTTCTTGCAATAAGCTGGGGTCCAATCTTTTTAGCAGTTGTGTCACAAATTAGCCCTGAATCCTCCCTGAATGCCACTCCAATTCCTTTCCCTCATCTGATCTGCTGCTCTGCTTTCTGCTTCCTGCCCTGCCCCATCTGCCACTGCTGCCTATGTGCCATGTGCCACAGGCTGCTTGTGCCACTTGTGTTCCATGTTGCAGGTTAGCCACCCCTGCTTTAGAAGGCAAAGGAAGCTAGTAGGGGCATAGCTATTTCAGATTTGATTCTGACTAATGAGGAGGAACTGGTTGAAAATAATAAAATATGAAGGTGATTTGGATGAAAGTAATAACCAACTTCACTATCCCAAGGCAAAGGGATGAGCACAGCAGAATATTGGTAATGTTTGTATCTTCAGCAAACTGAGGTATCTGGTGGTCAGGATCTCTTGGAAAGATAGCAGAACCTAAGGGATAAGCTGCACAGTGGAGCTAGCAGTCACTAAAAGATTATATTAAAGGCACAACAGCTTTTATTATTCTGTTATGGAGGAAAGATAAGCACAGTATATGATCAGTATGGCTGCACTGGGCTCCTAAAGACTTGAAAATCAAAAAGGTTGAGCAAAAAGTGGGGAAAAATACATGTGAATAAGGAGTCAGGTTGTAGCCATATTGGTCTAGAGCAGGGGTAGGCAACCCCCAGCACAGGTGCCAAAGCGTGGGACTTGAAGGCATTTTTTTCTTGGCACACGTGCCTCGGGGCAGATGGCACAGAAGGGGCCAGGGCTGCACTGCTACAACAAGGATCAGGGCCTTCATGGCTCCCCCACCATCTCCCCCCACACACTGGTATCTTACAAGTCGAGTTTGCATGTGTTTTTGGCATTCTGCCCAAAAACGGTGCTGACCCGTGGTCTAGAGGCAAAAGGAATCAAAACTCATGGTAGAAGTGATATCTTTTATTAGACCAACTAGATATTTGCAAACAAATTATTGTATTCATCTGGAAGTTGAGAATAAGGATAAATACACAAAACAATACAAGCAAATAGGGATCAAATCAGGAGGCTTAAGGTACAGAATAAGTTACAGCTATCAAGAGACAAAAAGCAATGAGGAAAGGTTTTATGAATGCATTATAGGTAAGAGGCAAACAGGGAAGTCAAAGCCCGTTATTTTCTGGAAAAGGAGAGCAAATTAATGGATACGGAGAAGTCTGTAGTATTTGTTGCCTTTTGCTTTAATGTTAACCCAGAAGGTCAGTTGGGACCAGATTCTTGTGGTAAATAATTTTACCAAGAGGATAGGAATCCACACCAGAAAAGAAAAAGAATAAATTAGAGCGGGGGTGTCCAACCTTTTTGAATGTGGGGCCGGATCACGAACTTCTTATCACCCAGTGGGCTGGCGAGCCATATTCAAAGACCTCACAGGAAGTGGTATCATCAGGAAGTGATGTCACATGACCTTTGACACCAACGAAGGTCTCAAGAATATATGAAAGGGTCATGAGCAAACTTTAAAGTGGCTTCTCCGTTAAACGAAAACCACACATAACCCTCTTTTCTCTTGTGGGCTGGCAGAGTTCCAGCCTGCAAGGGGCTACTTGGGGCCCCCCCATGCCTCACACTGGGGCACTGGGGTCTGGAGGTAGGAGCAGTGAAGGACACCGGGTCGGGACCATGAAAGGCAGGGACCCCCCACACGCACACAGGTGCTGGGAGCCCACAGTCACCGGCCCGGCCCCGGGGGAGGCACAGTCTTCCCACCCCAACCCCGGCCTGGCCTGGCCCTACCTGCGGTGCCCCGGCTGGGTAGAAGGTGGCAGAGGCAGACGACGAGGGCGAGCCCGGCTGCCGTGCCACCTCTGTGGGTCCGCATCGCCATGCAGGGCTGGAGAGAGCCAGGGCCGGGAGCCTGGGGCCACCCCGCATGGCCCCCCAAGAACAAAAGTAAACCGTGTTTACTTTAGTTTCCCATTGCAGCACCGTGGGCCACAGAAAATGCCTTGGTGGGCTGCATGTTGGACAGGCCTGAGTTAGAGAATGTATAGATCTATTCAAGTTCATGGGGCCTAGTGAAATTCACTCTAACTGTCATGAACCCTGTTACATTTTGGAAGTTTGCAGTGTGTCATGAATGTTTTCCTGTATTTTACTGTACTGATATGACACATGCGGTCTCATTGGAAATTCAACATTATCCTGTATCAATTTGTTACTGTTATCACTACATAATTTATGTTATGCTGTCTGCATTTGTCTTTATGGCTTTAGTCAAGGAAAGGGAATGGGCAGAATGCCTAAATTTCTCTTGCTATTGTGACTGCAGGACAAGAAGAATTTCTACTCTCAGATACAGGCAGAATGGGCTGGGCCCAAGGCATTGTCTGCCAGTAAAGGGGAAATCAACTCTGTTACAGCAAAGGCATCTGAAGAATGGCCCATCCAGCCAAAGGTATGCCAGGTACCTCGGGCAAACCAGGACCTTCTAGAGAGGACTGGGGTTGGGGAGGGAGATGGTTAGAAGGAGTCACAGATAGCTGCAGGCTCCAAAGGGTCAGAGACACCCCAATGGCCAGGGCTGGCAGAAATCAGCAGGAAGCTTGACTTCTGGTGATGCTGGCAAGACTCTCAGGACAGTTACAGTCTATCTAGATGAGAGGGTAAGGACCTCTTCTTGTTTTTCTTTTCTGTCTCTAAATCCATAGTCAGTTTTGCTCGTGTCATCCTTGTGTCTTGTGTAATAAACCTTTTTTTGTTGTTTGGCCCCTTACTGATTGCAGGTGGAAGGAGTGATTTCTAGGCACGTAATATTCCAGGCTAGCCCTCTCTACAGAGAGGGGGGCCTAAAAAAAATTCTTTCATAACCAATGAGGCAGCCACTTGGGGCACATTGATTCCCTCATTGCAGCTGCAGGGTCTGGTACAAGGGCAGTGAAGCTGAGGTTCACTGGGGTAAGGAGCTACCTCAGGGCACCCGCAGTCTGTTCCTTGGTGCAAGTGACAGCACCGGAGGGAGAAAGTCAGGGCTCAGACTAGGGGCCTCCTGCTATTGGGTTTGTGACATGAAATACCTAAGGATCTGGTCAAAGCAATGTCTGAACAATTGGGATTTATTGTTAAGAACCATGTGAGGATAGCAGAGATTCCAGAGGACTCAAGAAGAGCAAATATAGATTCCATCTTTAACAGGGTAGGAGAGGAGGAAGAGAACACAGCCACTCCTCTGTGAACTATAGCTAGGCTCGGTAGTCTTCATACCTCGAATGATACTAGAGCACACCATGAATTTACAAGCACCTAAATAATTATAAAGAGAGGGGGGGCTGGGGTGGTGTGGGTGCTAAATTGACAGCCCAGAGTTTGCAAGTTTGAGGCCATAGCAAAAGTGCTCACAGCACAGCCCAGTCAGATTTCAACAAATGTGCATATTCTGCTAAATGCCGTGTCACAAGGGCATGAGAAAAGAAAGAAGGATAAGGGGAGAGAGAGAAAAACTTGGAATATCTACTACAGGCACTGTCAATCTAATTTCCTTCTTGGACAAGCCAGCTGACATAGTGGATAAGAGGAAGCAATAGATGTTATCTGTCTTGGCTTTGGTTAGGTTCTTGGAGCTGATGCATGGTATTCTCAACAGCAAACTAGAAAATGTGGTCTAAAGGAAATTACCATCAGGTTTTATAGTTGGTAGGGTCGGAAGGGACCTGAGCAGATC